GCCTCCGGGGGTGAGCCGCGGGTCGGCCGGGGGTCTGCGCCCTGTGCCGGGGCGGCGATGGCGGCGGGGGCTGCCGAGGCCCGCGGAGCTGTGCCCACCGCTGCCTTTGCCGTTAACGGGGAAGGGAAATGCGATGTGGCACGTTTTCTGCCTAGGCCCGGATTCGCGGCGTAACTGCAGTAATTACGAAAACGGCCCCCTCTTGATTAACTCTCCCATTCTGTGTGTCACCGTCCCTCTGGGCACCCCACCTCCCCAGCCGGGCGGCTGGAGGTGTTGGACGTGCCTTTGGCAGGTACCTGCATTTCTGCATCAACAAATGAATCCTTTTGGGATGAAATATTGCTGGGTCTTACAAGAGCTGTCCGTGCAGGGCTCGAGAGCTGAATGGCAAGTTTGATGGAATCATCATGGATTTGTTCTGATTTTAAACTTTTATCTCAGCAACTCCTCCTTCACCAAATTCTTGTGCTGGGAAATGCTTTGGACAATAGGTGATGTGAGATGTCCTTGGGGATAGAAGCTGGATGATTGTTACGTGTTGTCATCACCCCAGATTTCTTACCCGTTACTGGCTATAAAAATGTCAGTAACCAAAGGCTGCCCCAGATAAAACATTCAGGATCAAGACTGCGGGTTTTCAGAGTCTGGGTCTAATCTCCTACCACAGAATAGGACCTGTTTTCATCGAAGTTTGAGTTGCACTTCTGTAATTTAATAGCCAGGCTTCAAGCTTGCTTGCTTAAGCTCTGTCTCGGCTAAGCAATTTTAGTCCTCCAACCTGTAAAATGGATCCCTTCACATAAAAAAATCACTGTTTTTTGCGTGAGCTGTCTAAATGCAATCCGTAATTCTCAGTGTCTTGTCTAAGATGATGCAAAGCAGCACCGTTGCACTAAAATGGTCGGATAAATGAGACTCCCAGCATGCGGATGCTCTCCCACCATCGCTGCGAGCGCCAGAACCGCAGTGTCAGTGGCAGCCTTTGGAAATTGTGGAAGATCATCCCGGAGTGGATCTTGCTGTGGAAGTTGGCAGAGGCCGTGACTGCCTGGTGCATCTTCTCGCCTGGTGTGAACCCTGTTGTGTAACGTCCGTAACTTCCCTCGCTCGGGCTGCTGAGGGAGCGGTTACGAAGCATCACACCTGACCGTAGATCATGTTCCTAGGAGAGGAGGTGCTTTGTTTTCAAAGCAGATAAGTGAGTCTCTTTTAAGATGTTTTGATAAACTGGATCACAATTAATGTTAGATGAAAGAAACGAGTTGCTTAACTCACGCAAAGGCCATAATTCTCCAATGATTCTGGGCTGCCAAAATAATACGGATAGCGTACACAAATGTGATAGCAGGTACTTTGCAACAGAAAATATAAAAACCATTCATAGAAACCGTACGGAGAGAATAAATATTTTGCAGTGCCACAAAGGAGATTGTGATCGTTCTTTTATCTTGAAATATGGGTGCAATACAGCACCAAATTCAATTGGCAAGCCCTGTCCCTTTCGAGCGTTGGAAGATTTTATCGCAAGGATGACTGGTTGGGCTACGCTCTATGTGTAAGAATGATGCAAAGAGCAGCACCGTGCTCTGTGTTCACCGTGCTCACTTGAGAAACTAGATCTACAAGTGATAAGACGCTGAAAGCAGCGGGAGGAAGGCACAGCTTGTATTGTTATTCGCTTCTGTGTTGCTGTTTAATTTGGTAGAGGGAAATAATAAAAATGGAGAACAATAATTCAAAACGTCGAGAAGCTCATACCCTGAGTCCATTCGGCATCGGAATGAGGTTGTGTTGTCCGTGATGTTGTGCTGGAGGCTGGGATTTGGGAGGGTGGGAGGACGGGGGCTGCAGCTCTCCCTCCGCTGCTGCCAGTGCTGCTCTGTCACATGATGTGACTGCACAGTCCCCGCTCCCACTGCAGCTGCGCTCGCCACGGCCTCTGCCAGGCACATCTCGCCTCCTCCTGCATCGCTGTTACTCTGGGTTAGCTCTGCTGCCTTTACATGGAGCTGGTGATAAACTGCTGCGGTATAAATGGGTAATGAGAATTCATTTGGTCACCCAAGACACATTACTTTGTTGGCTTATCTTTTATTCTGCGAGGTGAGCTTCGGGGTAGGAAGGAGGAGTTCTGGTGTGAAAGTCTATTCTGAGGTGACGTTACTGCCTAAATAGCTAAAATTTAACTGTATTTTAAACCAAAAAACCGCAACATCCCCCCCAGCCTGCCAAAGCATGATACAGCTATCAGAGCCTTATCACAAAAATCTGTGTGTTGATGTCTTTATTCACAGAACTTTTTGTAGTTCTTCTATAGAAATGTTCGGTTGGAGCAATCTTTATAGAAGGAAAACCAGGACCTGTACGTGCAAGTTTTATAGTCATTTTCTTTGATATTCTCGTACAATGACATTCTGCAGGCTTGCCTTTTTGTAGCCGAGTCGCTCTCTTTAAGCACGTAAGCTCTGTTCTGGAGATGTAGTTTTTCAACAGGCTGGAAACAGGGGTTTGGAAAGGGGTCTGTGTTGCAGCAGAAGGAAGCAGTTTAAAGGAATGGACCAAATTGTGTGTGGGAGCTGGATGGAGGGTCAAATAGAGGTCTGTTTCTATAAAGTATGTAAGTTAGTTGCCAAGACAAATATTACCTAGCAGTTTACATGTGCTGAGAGAGTGCAGTGCAGCCCTGCAACAGGAGTAGCGTAGAATAACCATCAGTCGTTCCCTGAGGATGTCAGTCAGGAGAGGAGTGTGCGATGCCAAAAAGCCTGGATGGAACAGCAGGTTTAGAGGACTCGTCGTTTGAAGTATTTTTAATTATTGCTATTATTATAATAGAACACAGGCTAGAAGTGGAATTTCTTAAATATAATTAAAGCAGAAGTGAGCAGAGGGATTTTTCTGCTGTGTGGCAGAGGAACTGTCCAGGAGCAGCTCCTGCTCAGGAGGGTGAGTTCCCAGAGCGATGATGCTCCGTGCAGCTCCCCAGCTCGCTGCCAGCCCAATGCCAAACACCCCTTTGGGGGGAAGAAGTGAACAGAACTGATCAAAAAGCTGTCCCCAGCTTGTACTGCATTCTCTTTTGTCAGAGTGAGGTTCGAGTTGGAGAGCAGTCATTCCATTGCCACCTTGGCTGAGAATGCTAACGAGATGAGAGCCTGATGATAACTGCCCTCCGGATCGGAGCTGGCCTGAGCTGCCACTTGGGCCATCTAGTAAATGGTTTGACTTGCTAGAAAGAAGTCTCCCCATCGCATTAACATCAAGCTACGTTGTATAGCAACCATTCCATTTTGAATTCATGAGTGTACATCAAGGAGTTAAAACATCAGTCATTTTCTGAGGAAAGAAAGAAAAAAAAAAATCTATCTTGTAACTCAGATGCTTTTCAGGAACTTGGCCGCTCTGGATGCGAGAGGCATGTGCTTTTCCGCCCTGCTTTAGGTGATGGCTTAGTTCAAGGGGGCCCAGATTTGGCTCAGTCAACAGTTGTGTTGGCGTCTTGCCATAAAATGTGCATAAAATGGAGCTGCCTGCGATCCCTCCTCGCGGTAACATGGAGGGGCAGCCGGGGGGACCCGCGGCCCCCGGACGCCGCGCTGGAGGTTGACCTGGGGATGAGAGTTATACTGGGATGTGCGATCCCTGCAGCAGAAACTGTTGTATTGTGACTCGATCGTTGCTTTCGAGTCCCTGGGTTGTATTTTGGTGTCTTGTCATAACTAATGCATTTCAACCCTGGCTGTGCCTGTGCTTCCAAATTCTGTCTCCCCTCTCCCAGCGGCTTACGTGCTTTTCCAGATGTACAAGGTTCGTATCTCATTTGCAGACTCTTCCTATGATTTTGTGGCTTATATGCATTGCCACAAAATCAAGATAAAACACAACTGGCATTTTAACTGCTCCAAGAACATTGTGTGTAAATAAACCACTAAATAGTTTAGCCTGTGAAATGTAAATACACACAGCTCAGCCCGCGGCAGCTGATGGTGTTTTTCTGTCTCCCTTCTTCCCCTCCCACCCCTGCCAAGAGTGAGGGAGCCTGATGTTCTTTTTTCTATTGCTCTTTCATACAATGCAAATGACAACTAAGTACCACGTAGGTGGTATTGCAGGCACCACGACAGATTCATGATTTGAATTGGGATGAAAGGAAATGCTTGCATCCTCTTCCACATCGCTTCCGAACCATCTTCTGGGGATTCCTGGACTCTGATGACCCAGAAACTCTACCTCAGTCTGACTTTGAGCTTGAGCTCATTTTTAGCAGTGAAGTAGTTAAGTCAGTAGAAGAGCAGAGGCCCAACTGTGATGACATTTTTAGCCTTTGCCCTTCGTTCATCCTATACACAAAAGGTCATGAACCGCAGTGAAAGAGGGATCACAGAGGGCGCAGAATGGACAAAGGTGGAACAAATTGCCAATGGCAGAAACATAAAGAAGAGAAGCAAAAGTTTTGTGTTATAAAGGTAATTGAAAAAGGCCACATACATCCCATGGTGATATCACATCTCTCGTATTTAAAATGGGTCGCCCATAGTGAATTTAGAAGAGTCTGCTGGTAAGATGTGGCTCAGATGGTCTCCGTGTAGAAGGCAGAAAGGGACAACACCGTCTCCGTGGTATGATGTTAATGAGCAGCTCCACGTTGTTTGGGGAGAAAAGATGCTGAAGCTGCAGTTCTGGATACAGACAGGTGTGCTTTAAGTGCTAAAAGGATTTTTCAAGACTTGTAAACCAAATGAAAAGACTGATTCTATAGACTAAGTACTTATTTGAAGCTAAAATAGTTGGACTGATGCTACATCCTCGATATTCAAACTCTTTTGACTCTTGCTTAAAATCTTTTACTTCTGCAAGTTAGCTGTAAAATTGGTATATTTTAGTAGGAAAAACACTTTCTTGGCGAATTCCCAATTGGAGTAGAACTAGTTGCTTTTGCAGGTGATTTTCAGTTAGCCACATGGTAATGTTTACAAAATAGAAGTTTTTCGCCCTCCTGGTTCATGCTGCATTTCTCCTTAGTGCCCTTTTGAAATAAGCAAACATCCAGGCAGAGAGAACACCATTTGTCCAGCATTATCAGCTAAATAAAACAGCTATTTGTTTCTCTTTCTGAAGTTACACTGTAAGTTCATTTTATTATGGTGTGCAAACAAAAAATGTCTCTTAGCCTGGGCTCTGCCCAAGTCCTTTTCTCTGTGTGTTCCATGTGCATGTTTATACAGCAGGGAGCAGAGCTGGCACAGACATGATCTGGCTGTTCTTTGATCCAGACCTGGGTCCTGCTGTCCCCCGGGGCTCAGACCCCGCCGTGCCCAGCAGTGGCCTGGCAGCCCGTGCCCAGATGCCTCCTGCAGCCTCCTGCTGTGCAAGGAGCTTGGTACCTCAGGAGGAGCTGCAGCCGCTGCACTGCAGACGTGCCCCGAGGTGAACAGTAGTTGGGGATGAGAAATGTCTGTGTTTGGTTCCAACTTTTACTAAAAACCTTGGAATAATAAAGAAATCCTTTTTTTCGCCAGTATATTTCGTAAAGAAATGGTCTGACATATAACTGCTCCTTTCTCTTCCCTCTTGTAGGGAAGCAGCCTGTGAAGCTTTTGGTGCCTACAAGCCCATGTGTATGGGGTTGTTACTTATATATTTCAATGTTTCGTGAATAGACCTGAGTGGTGTCTCAGGAACTTCAGGACAGTGTCTTTCAATAGAGAATTAGGTATTCTGGTGAGAGGAATGGATGTGAGCTCGAATTAATTTTGCATTGTCCAAGGCTCTGTGCAAACCCGCACTCTGAGCAGGTTACATGGAAACACACAGATGGTTTTCCCCAAAAGTGCGGTGTAGCTTTGAAAGAAAACCCCAGAGACAAGTGTGGCAGTCTGTAGGAAAGAAGGTAAGCGTCTTGCTTGACGAAGGCAAGATCAGATGTTTCTCAGTAGAGACTTCAGACATGATGGTACTTGGCTTTGGGTATGAGTGATCAAGATTTAGCTTTTTCTGTGCTATTAATTTGTGGATAAGAAATAGATACCAACTGGGCATCTGGCTTTTTATCACGTCCCCTTTTGGCAATGATGCTGTAGGAGATGTGTCAGCTTGAAAACTGAAAAGAGACCCGGTCTCTTTGACTCGGGGTTTGAG